TACATCTTTATTATACTCTTATAAGATGTTTGATATAATAATACATGTGCAGAATATGACAGTTTAATGGTGGAGGTACACACATATTGATAGATGTCTTGTAATGCACTGTTGAGGAACCTGTGACCCAAGTTTTGCATTCATTGCATAACTACACCGTAGTTGTGTATATGATATGTCCATAAACCTTAGAAAATCTTGAAATCTTGAAAGGGATGTGCAAAATATCAATTATATACAGTCTTTAATGAACGATTAGAGAATAACGAGTAATGAATATGCTTTATACGGATCTGCAGATAAATGTTTAGTCTTCTCAAGCATCAACTATCAAATATCTCTCCTGATTGTTGGCACTTGACAATCACCTTCACTGAATTTTACTCAGGTGTAACTAAAGTCTGATTTAAGGGTTGTTTATATTTCACATCATTAATCCAAATCTGTAAAGTAACTAAAATAAATGTAGTGGAGTAAAAACACCACGTTAACCTTAAAGAAAGCCCTCAGGATTATAAAAGACCCCCATCACCCCAGCCACAAACTGTTCTGTCTGCTGCCGTCTGGCAGGCGGTACCGCAGCATCCGGACTAAAACCACCAGACTCAGGGACAGCTTCATCCCACAGGCCATAAGACTATGAAACACCTGAACTTAGAAACAACATCCATAACATTCATCTGGCTGCTACTTAGAAATTATTGATCTAATATATCATATTCACAATGTAGTGACTGCTTTTTTGTCTTTTGTTTTCTTAGTTATGTTCTCTTTTATATGTGTGTGTTATGTGTAACGTTGCTAACTTCTTGGCCAGGTCAGCATTGAAAATGAGATTGTATCTCAATGCTTTTATCTGGTTAAATAAAGGTTAAATAAAAAATAAAAAAGATTCCAATCTGAATATAGACTCTTATTGCACTATTTCACAATTTTTTCTGTGTATCTGTTTTATTGTGTTGCACTGTTGGAGAAGCCTGCGACCTAAGGGGGGGGGGGGGGGATAGGACACGTTCGATTCTTGTTTTGAATAGTGTGCCGTCGATGGGTTTCATTCCATTTCAAGGTGCTTTTTGACGCTCCGTGTAAACTTCGCGCACTGCCACTCCAACATCCAATCACAGAGCTTGAGGACTGATCACGGGGTTTGTCAAGCTAAGCACATGGTGTAGTCCCAAACGATAGCTGAGGATTCTGGGTAGTGTAGTGTCTTCTGCCATCCAAAAACTCCGAAAAAATATTCGTTTCTCCGAATCGAAGGGGGAAAATACAAAAGCATTGTACACAATTTAAACCAATCAATGTTGTGTAATTAACAAGGATAATTTGGTGTTTTTGAGTTGATGAGTAGTGCAGATATCACTGTAAAATCAATCGACAGTAAGGAGAATACTTACTTCCGGGTGTAAAATTCTCCGTTATCCAATGGGAATGGACGCTCGTAATACAATAAAGGGGACATGATCATTATCTTTTAAATAACGTTAACTAAAGGGAACAATCTATTTGACACAGCTGAAGCTCTGGCCTTCCTTAAAAACTAACTAATTTAATAAAAATCACAGTTGTATTACACACAATGCACTGTTTTTTGAGAACAAAAATTCGTAACTAATGTAATTTTTACATTCTGACGAAAAATAAAAATGATTATGAATACAAATAAAATAAAAGAAGCCTCCCGTGAGTTACTACAAACTATAAAGTAGATTTTAAAAACGTTTTATAGAATAAAAGCTCACTGTGGGACGTTGTAGAAATGCGTGTGTGTACCACGACAAAAGAGCCTCATTCACTTTACATTGGGGTTTTTTGCGTGGTGCCGACACGCAAATGTAGCAGAATGCGTGACTCCACCACGCAATACGGTGTTAAGGAGTCGTGGTGGAGTCACGCATTCTGGTGAGATCAGGTTGGATTATCGAGCCTTCATTGTAAGAGTCGCGGGTCTGTGTATGTGCATATTCCACTGTAGCGCCCGGTACATTAATGGGAACCCTATTTTGTACATGTTCAATACATTTGTAACACTGTACCATGAACGTTTATTTTTTCAGTTCACCAAAACAAATCTCACTCCAAGCTGAACTCAAATGTTGGCAGCCCTGGGTTATGAAAATAATATGATACAGTACAAGTACGTCTGGGTCTCTGTGTTTCATTCAAGCTCGGCTCTGTGTTTGTGTGGAACGAGCCATTTTGTGTGCGTACGCGGGCGAGAGAGAGAGCGCACCAGTACCAGAGATCGTTGTTTTGTTAGCTTCTGGTGCTAGCAAGCTACGCTAACGGATATAAGGAGCTTTTTCAACAACAAGGTGGAGGAGAGTCCTCTCCTGTCAGACTGAGAGGCTCAGTGAACTAAAGGACTCAATGGGTCTCAAACGTTTCTGTCACGATTAATGTAAAGAATTATTTCTGAGGCACACGTTTATATGATCATTATAGTTATAAAAAAACAAGAGAATAAATGAAAAACAGGTATGAAATACTATATGACAGTAAAACAAGAATACAGTTTAAAAGGGGAGTGATTTGTAAAATATCCATAGTAAATCTGTTTACAGTTCGGTTTCATATGGGTGTTGAGAGATGTATCCATAGATCTCCTCATTTTGCTCTCAAAGTGCACCAGATTGATGCTTTAGATTGTTAGGTCCACTCCCCACTTGTTAAAATAGCACTTTACCCCTGCTTACACCTATACTGTTGCGGGTACACTATGTATTTGCGTGGGGATTGTTGCAGTAGAAAATTCCACTGTAGCAAGTAATTACTTGCATTTAAATAACTGTTTTGATGTGTTCCAGTCAGACTTTTGTCCAAACCACAGTACTGAGACTGCTCTTGTAAAGGTCTTCAATGACATCCACTTAAACACAGTTAGTATTATTAGATCTCAGTGCTGCGTTTGACACTGTTGACCACAACATATTACTAGACCGACTGGAAAACTGGGTGGGACTTTCGGAAACAGTTCTAAATTGGTTTGAATCCTACTTAAAGGACAGAAACAACTTTGTTTCTATAGGTAAATACACATCTGAGTTGACAAATATGACATGTGGGGAACCTCAAGGCTCCATCTTGGGGCTTCTTCTCTTTAACATCTACATGCTACCACTGGCTCAGATAATAGAGAACAACAAAATAAGTTACCATAGCTATGCGGATGACACACAAATATACGTAACAATTTCACCAGGAGACTATGCTCCAATTCAAACACTGAGTAAGTGCATTGAACAAATCAAAGACTGGATGTGTCAGAACTTTCTCCAATTAAACAAAGATAAAACTGAGGTAATGGTTTTTGGAGCCAAGGCAGAACGTATAAAAGTTAGCGCTGAGCTTCAGTCTGCAATGTTCTAAACAACTGATAAAGCCAGAAATCTAGATGTAGTCATGGACTCTGACCTGAGTTTCAACAGTCACATTAAAACAGTTACTAAATCAGCCTACTATCACCTAAATAACATATCTAGGATTAAAAGACTAATGTCACAGCAGGATTTGGAAAAACGGCATGCTTTTATCTTTAGTAGACTCGACTACTGCAATGCTGTCTTCACAGGTCTCACTAAAAAATCTATTAGAAACTGCAGCTAATTCAGAACGCTGCTGCTCGAGTCCTCACTAACACTAAGTGGATCACATCACTCCAGTTCTGAAGTCTTTACACTGGCTTCCTGTGTGTCAAAGAATAGATTTCAAAATACTGCTGCTGGTTTATAAAGCTTTGAATGCTTTAGGCCCAAAATACATTTCTGACCTACTGCTAAATTATGAACCATCCAGAACACTCAGGTCTTCTGGGACTGGTCAGCTTTCTGTCCCCAGAGTCAGAACTAAACATGGAGAAGCATGCGTTTAGTTATTATGCTCCAAATATCTGGAACAAACTCCCAGAAACCTGCCAGTCCGCTGCAACTCTGACTACTTTTAAATCCAGGCTAAAGACTTTTCTTTTTGTCGCTACTTTTAATTGAACTTCATATCTTAAACTGCACTGTAACTTTTATCCATGTATTTTTTCTTTTAATGTTTATTTTATTATCTTTTCTTTTTAATGACTGATTTTAAATGCCATTTTCTTAATGTCTTTCATTTTTTGTAAAGCTCTTTGAATTGCCTTTTGATGAAAGGTGCTATATAAATATACTTGCCTTGCCTTTTAGCGACCAGTACATTAATGGGAAACCCTACATCTTTGAGCACCCTCTATGAAACGTCAAGCTACCCCACAGCACCCCCAAAATAAATCTCTGGCGCCGCCACTGAGCCTGCAACCCCGTTTTGAAGAAATGTGCAGTGCAAAACAGGCTCATTGCAGCCACTAATGCTGTGATAAGACACACTTTTTGGCCAAATATCAGCATTTTCTTTCTTTTCATTTTTTTGCACAGATTGCAAAGTGGCAAAGTATTTTAACTTATTGTTCTAGCAAACGGATTGCACAAATATGTATTATGTATTTATTTGTTTGACCACACAGACTTATGGAGCATTGTTTTATTATCACTGTTCTAGCAGTGTTAGAAAAAGTGTTTTTTTATTTTATTTTTTTAAAGGAATGCTCACGTTCATATTGATGTATTTTAATAAATGTTAACCTGGCCCATTACGTGACTATTTGTGTTGGGGAGGCCCGACTTTTTTTTTTCTCCAAAGGGGGGGCCTGACAGAAAAAGTTTGAGAACCACTGACCTAGCACAACAAAGGAAAAAAGGAAACCCAACTTCCCGTAGTATTGCTTGCATAGTGAACGTGTTATTGCTGCAGCTAATGAGTGTGTGACATGCCGGTGACCTTTGTCATTGAACCCCACTTGACCTCCTGACCCGCCTCCTCCCCCGCTGGGTCTACTTTCATCCGCTGCCGCTGCAGCTCTCCTGGAGACCCGCGGAGGTCGCTCTTGCTCCCATTCTCTCCCTCGCTGGCTCTGCTACGACTCCCTCTCCGCTCCCCTCCCTCGTCCTCCTTCAGATCAGATATACCCCAGCACAGAAGAGGAACAACTCTGATCAAGCTTTTCCGGTCTGCTAGCCCTAATTTCCTCTCAAGACCTCTCCGGCGGTGGAGCGGAGCAGACGCGGAGGCACTGAGAGGGAGAAAGTGGGGAATATTACCGCGTATTCTACCGCCACAAGCCCGCGCCTCTACGGTTCCTCCCGAGTAGTATAACGTACCCTGTCCTCGGTGAATTGTGCCCGGGAAGGAGGAGTGTGTGAGGGGGGAACAGAGCAGAATGGTTCGGCGGACAGGAGCGCAGTCGCTCCGTCTCCGTGAAGCCGCCACAGAGCGCCCTCCGATGCCCGTCCACCTGGAGTATTTTTAGGTGAGACTCCTCTTGCTAGCCCCAGCAGTGGGTTTGAATCCGGTTTGTGGTGGGTGTTCTGTCGTGGACTGAAGGCTCAGCACCTAAGGGGTTGAAACCTGAGTCCAGCGGTGATGAGAGCTCACTCCGAGAGGGTTTCAGTGGTGTGCTGCCAGAAGCATCTGGAAAGGATAACACTGGGATACACTCCCCCTCCAAAGGACCAGAGGATCATTCACATCCCAGACATTTTCGAGTACAGCTCTAAGTGTCTTTCAGCTTGTGTTTCATTACTACATTTAAAACCTCTGCCACAGGTTTAAATTAATTAAATAATCCGGAGGGTCCCTCGGAGCTATGCAGTGAAGATGTGTGCAGCCAGGTTCAATGGCTGTGCCGAGGAGGCCTCCGGTCCGGTCACAGCCTCCAGGATGCTGGACTGGACAGAGGCCGGGCCCCGCATCCTCCACAGCCTGGAGATGGGGACAGTGATGACTGTCTTCTACCAGAAGAAGTCCCAGAAGCCAGAGAGGAGAACCTTCCAGATAAAGCAGGACATGCGACAGATAGTGTGGAGCAGAAACCCCGACAAAATAGAAGGAGAGGGTGAGTATTGATATGAAAAGTCTTCCCATCGGGTTCATTGTCAGACCATGAATAGAGAAGTATGTGTCTCAGTCACACTGCATATATACCTCTTTGCCGGGCAGATACAGAATCAGAAGAGGCTGAAGTATCTGAGAAAATGCTGACAAACAGAAACAGACACTTGGATCAGTCTCTTCTTCTTTGTCCAGCTTTCAAAGCAGTGCTTTCCAAACTTTTGTTGTTGATTTAATCCAATTTGTTTTTCCACAAAAAAAATCAGTGCTCTTTGTTTTTTGGAAATAGTTGTTCAGCATGAAAAAAGCATTGAGAAGTTACTTGTCCAAAGATATCACTTTGTCCAAAGATATCACTTTGGATAAAAGCGACGACAAATGTAACTAAAACCAAGACATAGGCTAATCGACTATGAAGTTGTAGCCTTATTTTTAGGTGTCACTAAAGGTACATTACCAAAGACATAATTACTCACTTCACTATAGAACTTTACAGAACATTTACTTATGTGCTGAGATTTCTAGTTATTGATCCCTGAAAAAGAGGTGAATGGAATGATATTTGTCGTGGACAATTACATTTTGAGAAAGTAAGTAAAGTTATTTTCTGGTGTTTGAAGATTATCCATAGACCTCAAAATTAACAGCTTTTATCAGGACTATCTTTCGTTAGAATAATTGTTGTGCTAAAAACTGTACAAATTAAGGTTTGTGGAACATTTAGAGCAGTGGTTCTCAAATGGGGGTACATGGAGTCGCGGACCCCTAGGGGTACGTTGGAGTACTGCAGGGGGTACGTGAGATTTATTTTATGTTAATGAAAAAAACAAACATAAGTAATGCATTTAAACAAACTACTAATAGTTGATTAACTACTTCATTCAAAAGTTTACAGTAATTCTGGATAATAAAATGGGAAAATAAACGGGGTGCTCTCTTTTCCTCTCTCTCTCCTGACAGCCCGTCAGTCTCGTGCAGCTCGCTGAACCTGTAATAAGCCGACAGTAAAGAATAACTAGAGAATGCAATTCCTGAAGAAATTGCTAGTGGGAATGCTTTATGCTGAAAAGCTGACGCTAAACTGCTATGCTGAAATGTAATGTGTAAGAAGAAAGTGAATCATTTAGATTAAAATGAAATTTGTAAGAAGAAAGTGAATAATTTAGATTGAAATGAAATGTGTAAGAAGAAAGTGAAGAATTTAGATTTAAATGATACATGAACACTGGGGGCTTGAATGTGTGATGAGAGAAGAAAAGAAAGTAAAAAGGCTTGGAAAAGCAGCAGAATATTTGAACCGCAAACTTCTGAACTAAGTTGATGGCGAATGTTCTGTCGCCATGGCAACGGCATTTGATGCCACCCCATAATATGCTTAGATGCATTGATGGCTGCATCATTACCAAACCTGTGAAGTCTTGGGCTGTTTGGAGTATTTTCACTGAAGTTATGAGAAAACCGTGTTTCATGGCGAGCATTGTGTTGCCATGGCAACGGCATTTGAAGAATTCTCAAAACTGTCACGTAGATGTCTTCATGGCCAGACTGTTAGCACACATGTGAAGTTTGAGCACTTTTTTAACATTTGCATAGGAGTTATAGCGACATCATATTTTATGGCGAGGGATGCGTTTCCATGGAAACGGCATATGGTGAGATCTCAGATTTGGCGTAGAGCTGTTGAGGCATGGACCGGTGATATACAAGTGAAGATTCGGGGACGATTGAACCGTGTCGATTGGACTTACAGCCACATCGTTTTTCATGGCGAGTGGTCTGTCGCCATGGCAACGACATTTGATGACACGCCATACTACGCTTAGATGCGTTGATGGCTGCATTGTTATCAAACCTGTGAAGTTCTGGGCTGTTTGGAGTATTTTCACTGAAGTTATGAGAAAACCGTGTTTCAAGGCGAGCATTGTGTTGCCATGGCAACGGCATTTGAAGAAATCTCAAAACTGTCCCGTAGATGTCTTCACGGCTGGACTGTTAGCACACTGCTATCTGAAGTCTGCTGCTCTGAGCATATGTCAGTTGGAGTGATGACATCATCGTGTTCCATTACACAGGTGTTTATATTTGAGCTAACGGGTATGCAGAGATCACAGGTTTCCATTGTTCTGAATGAGAGATAAACCTCTTACATGTGAACGTTTTGTGGAAGAACCGTAAGAGATATCTGTGAAATTTCAAAACGTGAAGCATGTCAAGGAAGTTGAGTATCTGAAGTGTAATTTTGGTGTACTTTCGAGTTAATAATGTGGCCTTTTTGGCAGTTTAACTAAAGGTGTGCGGCTGCTGCTGTGAGGAAATATCAGCCTGAAATTACAATGGGCTTTAATGGAGGAATGTTGAACGTTTTTGTCACTTCATGCCCTCAACAGGCATTTTGTTTAATTATTTTTGCTTAATTATTTGTCATTTTTCAATATGTCTCAGGAATGTAGGGTTTGGGAATTATATGGCAGTTTAAAAAATATATATGAAGGCACATTTCAAGATTTCCTCCACTCTGGCTGTGACATCACGCACTCTAGTTAATGTTAAAATGTGAAGAAAACCTCTTTAACAAGGTCTGAACAATGTTTAATATCTCTAAAAGTAAGCATCAGATTTAAAAGTTGTTTTACACGAATAATGTCAGAAAGATGTGTAACATTTTAAAGTTGGAATGAGGTTTCTGAGTGAAAGTATGAATGAACATAACGCGTCAGGGTACCCGCGGGTACCCGCCCCGATGCAGGACTCTGCTGCCTACCAGCCTTCCATCTGTGCACAAACTTATCTCGTGCCCTCATTGGTCATGTGCGCGTTCGTGTGTTGGAGGAGGGGCTCTGTGAGGAAGTGGCAGATTTTTTCCGGTTGTGTATTTTCAAATTCTAGCGCACTCGAGCTGGTTTCTCCAAAATTACATACCCCACCTTTAAGTGTTTCTCAGTTACAAGGTTGTTGTTTTAATGACTCAGACACTGATGGTGCAGCGCTGTACTCTACCTCTTTATATAGGCTTTTCTTCCCTAACACATTGTTTCTGCGCTGATGAGGGGGTACTAGGCTACATTTCTGTTTCAAAGGGGGTACATTATTGAAAAAACTTTGAGAACCACTGATTTAGAGTAACGTTTAGATGAAGACTATGGCGTGTGGTTGAAAGCTTCAGAAAACAACTATTACAGTAAGTAGATCTTGATTAAAAACTTTTTTTTTTATGTCAAAATGCAATTCTGAACATCAACATTTTCCCAATCAAAAAAAGGCCTGACAGGCAGGTATCAAATGATCGTTAGTATTGAAAAAATCAGCATGCCTTCTTTGGTTTGGTGCAAGAATATCACTGTATTTGAGATGATGCTGCTGCAGGCCGTCCTTTTCCAGCCCATTCCCCATCCTGACCCCAACGTACAGCTGAGGCGCTGTCATGGCTGCCTCAGCAGACAGCCGCATCCCGACCCTGTGACCTCTGCTTCCTCCATGTCTCCACTCACTCTCCAGACAGAGAATCTAGCATGCTGCTGCCACATGGACCCTGAGTCCTCGCTGCTGGACTGGAGTCAAGTGGCAGAGAATACTTCGAGCTGCAGGCTGTTGTTGTGCTGGTGATCGGCCCGTTGGAGCGCTGCCTGTCTGGGGTGTGGAGGCTATTGTCTCCGCCCAGGATTTTGTGGCCTGGGGGAGGATTTGTTACAGTGTCCGTTAGCACAAACTTATGGCATTCACAACATGATAGAGTTTCCTTCTGTCTGCCATGTGTTATTCTAACTCTCCGACTTTACTGTAGAATAAGAAATAGACTCCTCCCCTGCGAGATAGGAATAGGTTTACTGCTGTCAGGTTTGTTTTTCCATCACCTAACTACAGTTGGTTCTTTCTGCAGTAACAACAAAACAATACAAAAACGAAAACTCAACCATAACAAAAAACTGAAAATACAGAAGTAAAAAAAGAAGTGAACTCAAGACAAATGAATTTCCCGGTGATACGAACTGATACAGTACATACAATTGTTGCCAGTTTTAAGGTGACTAAACTCTGTTATACTACCGTAGCCTGTATCTTATGCTGAGTCATCAATTGTGCATAACTCACCAGTGTATCCGAAATATCAACTGTACTACATCAGTGAAGGAAATCACAATGTTTACTGTAAACGTAATTGTTAACCCATTAGCCAACATCATCAATGGGCCATCCATTTCAGTAACGGCCCGTCCACACAGCAGCATTAAAAAAATCTTGAAAATCTTGGAGCTGGGCATGTCTGAAAACTTGGGGATTTTTTGCGAGCAACGCGACCAACAACCAATCACATGAATATCCCGCCCCCGACATACAAAGCAAAAAACCCCGGTTCTAAGATAACAATTAAATAAAGCAGTAATTTACATGGAAATAGAATGCTATGAATGCATTTTTGCATATAAACTAAGAAATGTGAAATCAGAATATGTGCAGAAAGGAGTATGACATTGTGTGCATTAATGTGATGCATATAGTCTATGATGTGGCAGAGGTAAAGTGTCAGTGGGAAGGGCTATGATGAACATTTATGAGATTAATGTCTATGGTGCTATTTTGTGCTACACTCCATGCTGGCTAAAGATACTGTCTATGCTTGCTAGTTGTTTTAAACAAAGTAAACTGGATATAAAATCCCCAAACAGGCGAAAACCTACCAGTTTCACCCACTGTCTCTGCCACCTCCCTCCATGCCTGGTTCCTCCGGTATCGTACATCCAGGACATGGTTAAACCGTACACCCCAGCGCGTGCACTACGCTCTGCATCAGCCAAACGACTCGCTGCGCCCTCGTTGCGAGGGGGACCCAAGTTCCCATCTGCAAAAACACGTGGGTTTGATGTCCTGGCTCCAAGATGGTGGAATGAGCTCCCCATTGACATCAGGACAGCAGAAAGCTTGTACATCTTCCGGCGCAGACTGAAAACTCATCTCTTTCGACTCCACTTCGAGCGTTAGAACTATTAACAAAGCACTTTTATACTA